AATATCACTAAATTCTACATAATATGTATATTTAATTATTTATCTTTAAAATATTTATAATAGAAGTAAATTTCAGTGCAATCAATAAATCAAAATATTTACAACGATTCAACATTAAAGATTTTTTTCCATTTTGCATATACATTAATTAATTTCCTTTAAATAAGTTGAGTTTGTTATACAATTGTTGTTTTGATTTATTTTTGATATCTCCCGTTTACGTCAATAAATTTTTCAACTACTAATTTGAGTAATTTCGTGATTGTGTTCATCTCCTCTAGGAAACACATGATTGTTAATATACCAGGTGGCCCATAAGTCGTTAGAAATGTTAATTTCGAATAAAATACAAAAGGCGCTCATGAGTGGCGCGCGCGGTGCGGGGGGAGTACCGACGGTTTCTGGGAATTCAGTCCCCATGGAGCGTTTCACCGGTGCGGACCGTGCATTTTGTGTGCGCGAGTTTTATCGAAACAATGATTCGGCTACCATTGCGCGGCGTAAATTTCGAGAATATCAGAATTTACGCAACTTTAAAGACATTCCAAGTGTTCAAACGATTAAGAACTGGGTTATTAAGTTCGAAGAGAGTGGTTCGACGTTGGATAAACAACGGTCAGGTCGACCGAGGACATCACGGACGGAAGAAAACATCGATGTAGTGAAACACTCAATTCGTGAAAATCCTACCCAGTCTACTCGTAAGCGTTCCAGTGCATTAAACTTACCCAGAACATCGTTACAGCGAATTTTAAAGAAAGATTTACATCTTCACCCGTACAAGATTCAGTTAGTACAGGAATTAAAAGATACTGACACTATCCACAGACTAAATTTTGCAAATGAAATGTTGAACCGCTTTACTTCGTTTAATAACGTGTTATTCTCTGATGAGGCTCACTTTCACATCAACGGCCATGTCAATAAGCAAAATTGTCGCTACTGGAGTTGCGAAAATCCAAATCGCAAACATCAAAAGCCCTTACATAGCCCTAAAGTGACAGTTTGGGCGGCTATGTCAGCGCATGGCATTATAGGCCCTTACTTTTTTGAGGACGGCAGAGGCCGCGCGCTTACTGTTACTTCACAACGGTATGTAGCTATGATCCAGGACTTTTTTACACCAGAGTTCAATACGCGGACCTGGTTTCAACAAGATGGAGCAACTGCCCATACCTCTAACGTCGCTATGCCGGTCGTCCGTCAACTTTTCCCTAATAAAGTGATCTCTCGAAGAGGAGATATTCCTTGGCCACCACGTAGTCCAGATCTGACCCCAATGTACTTTTTCTTATGGGGTTATCTTAAGACTAAAGTGTACGAAACCAACCCGCGGACAATTGACGTCCTGAAAGAAAATATCCAAAGAGAAATGGCAAACATTACAGAGCTTACTTGCCACGCAGTGATGGATAATTTTAAACGTCGCTTACAGGAGTGCCGCGATCGTAACGGATTACATTTAGATGATGTAATTTTCAAAAAATAATTCCCATTTTATAAGGATTATGACAAAATAAAAGCCTTTTTCATAATGTCATTAGTTTTTTTTTTAATTGTTTTTTTACATTTCAAGGGACTTATGGGCCACCCTGTATAATTTTAAAACTGCTGTACATATAAAATTGCCATCATACTTTTTTTTTGCAAAGATTTATCTCAATCTTACCAAATCTACTCCATGCATCTACTGTTCTGTTTCACAAATGTTTATGCGTGTATTGGCCAACCTTGGCAAAACATTTGTAGGGGTGCTTTAAAATCGGTAATTTTATTTCATTTCATCTTTTAAATACACATTGCGGCATTGTGAAACGTGTTTACATTGGCTGTCTTTCAAGGCAACTAAACGAAATAAGAGCTCACGTCTACAGTGCGCTGTTATTTACTGGGACGTATTTTTTGCGCCGACCCGATATCTAGTTGGTATTGTTTATCGAAGTTCAATTATAATTAATTCGACACTAGATAACGACACTTCGTATCATGGGAACTAAAAATATAAAGGTATGTAGAGCTCACTATCGGTAAAATAATCATACAAAGGTGCTGAAATTTGTTTTGTCCTAAAGAATTTTTAATCGCCAAAATATTATTTCTATAGTTATTATAATCATTTTGTGAACAGGCCGCCATCTATCGTCAAGGTAGCTAAACTACATTGCAACATCGTTATGGAACGAGGGGAGTAGTTTTACTATTTATCGGTAGATTGAAGATAGTTAAGTGGGCGGGGCTTAACACTCCCTCACCCCGCAAATTGTCACGCGTTGTTACATAGTGAAATCTAATTACAACACGTCCTCTTTGTATTTGCTCCGTGGTCGCAAGGCCGTAAATGGATGAATCCAATGTTCATGACATCTTTTGATTCGTTTGTCACGCCACACAGTGGGCGGAAACGATCAAAACTACGACGCGCCAGGCAGTAAATCTAATCCAAATGAAATATTTTTTTTTAAATACTCGTAATTATGTCTGCTTTCTTGTAGCACTGGGAAAACTCGGCGAGTTCAATCAACTGCTTATCTTATAAGGAAATTAATATTTTATCCACAAAGTCTAGCCTACCTTAACTCCGATACATCTCATCCCCACATACCCTAAAAAATTTTATAAACCACCCCTAAGAACCTCCAAGCAGACTAAAACGCCTAGCTCTGGATGAATTGAGTTTAAATATAAATAATCTGGTGGTTTAGCCTGCTTAGGGGTTGATAGGGGTGGTTTCTACCCCTAAAAAGTGAATTTTCGCAGTGCTACAAGAAAGCAGACATAATTACGAGTATTTAAAAAAATATCGACATATCGAGTGACGTGCAGTTTCGTGGTCACTTGGAAGGGAAGGCCAAATTGGCCTCTAAAAAGCTTGGCGTGCTCAGCAGAGCGGGACAGTATTTCATGCCGGCACACCGCCTGCTACTTTACAAGGCGCAAGTTCGGCCTCACATGGAATACTGTTCCCATCTCTGGGCAGGAGCTTCCCAGTGCCAGCTCCTTCCACTTGACCGCATCCAACGCAGAGCGGCTCGAATTGTCGACGACCGAGCCCTTTCCGATCGCCTCGATTCATTGGCACTACGAAGAGATGTTGCATCCCTTTGCATTTTCTTTCGCATCTACCATGGGGAGTGCTCTGAGGAATTGTTCGGATTAATCCCAGCCGCCAAATTTCACGAACGCACATCGCGGCAGAACTCCCGATACCATCCACACCATCTGAATGATTGGCGGTCCACCACTGTGCGATTTAGAAGATGTTTTCTTCCTCGCACGACCTCCTTGTGGAATCGATTACCATCAGCGATTTTTCCGGACCGATACGACTTAGGGACCTTAAAGAAAAGAGCGTACTCCTTTTTAAAAGGCCGGCAACGCATCTGCGATTCCCCTGGTGTTGCAGTTGTTCATGGGCGGCGGTAGTCACTTACCATCAGGTGAGCCGCATGCTCGTTTGCCCCCTCTCCTATAAAAAAAATATATTTCATTTGGATTAAATTTACTGCCTCGCACGTAGTTTTGATCGTTTCCGCCCACTGTGCGCCGCGCCGCCGTAGTATCAGGTAAATGAAAAAAATTCTGTTATTCATATTTAGAAGTTCGTCTCCGCCGGGAATTGCATCAAACTAACAAAAATCTTACGAAATGTTATTTGCAATGCGTATTAGGTGTAATCCCGACCCAGGAATATATATATATACGCGAGAATAAAAATCGCGCGGTGAAATATCGCAGTGTGTACAAGGCCTTACAAATACTCCTTTGGAAACTCTTAAGCATTCCCAAGGACTCCTGATCCCAAAAAATGTTTACGATAAATTGCTTGTAGAAATTAGTGTAAGTGTTGGTTGTAAAATGACCGGGACTGTGTGTGCAGATTTTGTATTAATTGTGGTGGATTTTTTTCTCTTAAAATGTTTTCAATCCTAACCAAGTTTTTATTTTATTATGGTGGCGTTTTACAAACTTAAAGTCCACAACCCGTATATTCAGCCCCGGAACAATAATTTGTCGGTCATATACGAGTCATACACTTGTTCCTTGCACGTATCGATATCGCGGTCCACTGCGACGCGTCGCTGCCAAGCGTTCAGTAACTACGCCACACGCCTTCAAATTCAATAGCGTAGCATGGGCTGCATGGGTATCTAGATCCAAAAAGGCCGCTTCTTAATCTTAACCTTCCTCATTTTTAAAGTATCTTAAAAATATAAAACCGTTAAAGGTCTTCAACAGTCTTGTTGTCTTGCATGTCTTGCTTGTTGTCAGTCTTGCATATTGTTTAAAAATGGACGAAACAATATAATGTAAGGATTTTTTATACTTATCCTGAAGCCACCCAAGTGAGTGTGTATAAATTATCTCTATTTGCAGAACTTGCAATGCTACAATGTTTGTAATATTTAGTGAAAAGTATTCAATAACAGCTAATGTTCAGAATTTTTATTAGTATTATTTTAAAAGTTAAGGGGTTATAAAGTTTCCAAAATGCCGCTTCTAAAGTTTGTCATCCTGGGACACCACCACTCCCGGTCCTCTCCTTGCAACACCGTTGATCAAGTTATGAAACTATTGCGAAGATATCGCTCCGCCGACGGTCCCTGAGCAGTGCGTGTGAATACATACGCTATTATGCCTTCCATACAGTTTCAAGTGTTACAATAGTACAATTGATGCCGCAACCCACAAATGACTGTTACGAGCCGCGTACATACATGCTGCTCTATTCACAACTTAACTCTTATCATTACAACTAGTGACAGGTTTTAAAGAATTGTCTAAGGCTTGAAATAACTAAGACAACGATCTTGTTGCATAATATAATTGATCGCCTAGGGCTTAAAGTTCTTTCTGTTCAGTGCCTTAACCATCTTTAAATTACTTTAATTATCTCTGAAACAAAAACTTTGAATGTATGTTCTAAGGGGTGTGTTCACAAAACGAATACGGAAGGTAGAAGATATTTTAAAGCCCTGCTAAATTTTGGTGGCGTGTTTCAGGAATATGAGTTCCTAGACTTGTCAGATGTGAAAGAGGCGGAGCTTAGCAGTCTGCAGTGTGCACTATTTGAGAGGAATCCCGACTGTTCTGTGCCCACATCAACTGCATTGGGTTGGACAGAGCCTGTAACAGGTTAGATATCTTAACATATTTTAACTAACCATGTTATTATTATGTTGTATTGTGTCACATATTTGTAATTATTTATGGAGTTTGTGTATAATCTTGTGAGTATACACGATAGTAGTAGATAGTAGAATTTATCTAACAAATTTATTTAATATTTTCAATTGTAGGTAGAGCCATTCTGTAGCTATAATATAATAAAAATTTCCTCGAGACCGAATTTCGGACAAAGCGATCATTCTTAAAAGGACAAGATTATAGTTCCCAAGTGTGTTCGCAAGCTCATGTGCACTCTCATAGTCCGATAAGACGATAATCACAGACGACCGGGGATAAAGATCAGGCACATGACCAACACGCATTGGGGTCAGCGCGGCGGATATTTCATTGCCGTCTCACAGAAATGAGAGGAGGCCTGTGCCCAGCTGTGAGACGTATATAGGCTGTAACTTTTAACATGACGACATTACTTGCTTTAAGAGGCACACGGGGGTAAAACCACCGCCAACTTTCTGCCTCCGAGCTGCCACTGAGAATTTCTCGACAGAAAAACCCAATAACTAATTTCTGGCCCGACCCGGTATTGAAACCTGGGACCTCATGATCAGCGATCGAGTTTACGACCACTAGACCAACGGGGCAGTCATAACCCGTAATATAGTTCTAATATAAACCGTAATATAGTTGTAGCATGAATGGGTTGGTTGCTTCCCTAGTTGAGGAAAAGCCACACACACAGTATACCAGAGTATAATAGCAGCTTAACGCTACTGTTTCCTGTGGTGAGTGTAGAGAACCAGAGTCCTTTTACTGGAAACAAGGCATTCCATCTTGGCCTTCAGAGGTGACAACACATCTGCATTTTGATTCTTAATCGAGAATAGATGTGAAGTCTACGCCACAGCATCCATTTATCATCAGGTGTACTGTGTGCTTGTCACCCTTATTCTAGAAAACAATGATCAAATTGTTTTTTCTTCGTTATTTTCTGTGGAACAGATCATTCTTAATTTTTTTTGTCATTGTTTTGTGCGTGTATGATGAATTATTTTTAAGTTAGTTACTTCTTCACGAGTTATCAATTTACTATTAATAAAACTTATATGTATGTTTTTCGTTTTAATATGAATATAAAAAGCTATTACAATAATCGATATAAGCTTTCAGTTTCGATCCCATTTATACTTAGTGTGAATAATTTATATATAACAAGACCAAGTGATAAAAGATAAGGAATATAAACAAAGTTTAAGAGGTGCAGTAGTTAAAGAGTTTATATGGTATTGTTTTTATAAAGACTTTACAAGGTTAAACACAATTTTAAATGATAATTTACAACATGTTCCGTGATAAGGCAAAAATAATAAGGAAACCCATATGTCTGAAGAATTAAAATGTTTGGAGGACATGTTAAGTCCGCCAACACGTAATGGAGCAACACGACGGACTAATTGCTTCATGACTCTCTCAAATAAAGAATCTATGCCTAACTGTGTGACGAGATTAAGTTGTAGATTTTCTATGTTTACAAGTGGTAAAATAAAAATTTTTATGCAATGGCCTTCAATATAAATTATTAAGGATAACTCAAAAACTACTGGAATCAAATTGATACGGGACTACATGAGAAACACCAGCTTTCAAATAAAAAAGACTCATCGAAATCGATTCACTGAGAAAAAAAATGTTATGAGGTAACACACATAAAAAAAAAACAGTTGAATTGAGCAGATCCCTCTTCTTGAAGTCTGTTAAAAATCATTAAGCTTCTGGGAATTTCACTAAGAATACTAATAGGATACACCATACCACATTTTGATATCTTTCATCGAAATACTGCCTTTATTAAGTTGAAGGGGTTTAGTTGTATGCCATTAAGACGTAGACAACAATTTTTAAAATTTTTGTATGTGTCTGTCTGCGTGTCTGTTCGTCCAGGCTAATTTTCAGAATGGCTGAACCGCTTGTTGTGATACTTTACAAACAGATAGGGAGCGATGTCAAGAGGCTATATTTTATCTGAAAATCGTGAAATTATTGTTTGAAAATAAAAACAAAATTGATAAAATAAATGATGTTTGATTATCTTTACTCCAATTAACACCACTTTAATAGATCATATCCAAGCGAAGCGGGGCGACTCGCTAGTTCTAAATAAAACGCTTGTATAATCTTATGTTTTGGTGCATATTCCTAGTGAGGAAAATGTTCAATTAAAACTCCAAAGACAGAAGAATTACAACTAGTAGTGACTAGCGACTCATAATTGCTGAATATTAAATTAGTAGCATTGCATTAAGACCAATAAAAGTGGGTTTTCCTTTATATTAAGCATTTTATCGATTCTTTAATTTTTGTCCACATTTCGCCAAATTATTTTAAACTAGCTGTTCCCCGCGACTTCGCCTGCGTGGAATTTTTTTACGCGGAACTCAAGAATAAAAGTAGCCTAAGTTCTCCTTATAACATCAGCTATCTGCCAGTGAAAGACCTATCCAAATCGTGACAGACGTTGTGTTACAGTTATTTTATAGTATATAGATTGCGTCGACCTAGCATCGCAATTACCTGTAGGAATTTGTAAAAGCCTCATTAACCAATGTTTAAGTTTAATATTAAATAAATAGAATATAGATTATTACATAATACTTATAGAAAGTCAAATTTTATTTACCACTGGTCTGGATAAAATACCTTTGTCCTGGGAAGAACCAGCAATAAACCCAGGGGGACTTTTTTTTTAAACATATTTCACTTTACAATAATTTTTTTCTATAAATTTAATAGAACCAACATGGTTTGCAATGTTTTCCAGCAAGCAACCTATTACAATGTTTTCCAGGCCTAAATATGATTATATGAAGATCATATAAAATAAATTAAATATTTATCAAGGTTATGAACATGACCCGCTCATTAACCCTTACATCATTGATATATTGAAAGTAGTGACTTTTTGCTTTATTGTTTTTTAATCTAACATAACTATTTATTTTAATAATATATAGGTGGCCCTCTAGCTGAAGCCAGCTAACCTGCGTATAGGATCTATTAATGTGGCGTTATTTACATTTAAGATAATCATCAAAGACGTTAAAGAAGAGTTTAATCAATTTTTCGATTTCTCAAACAAATCTCACAAGTTTTTTGGATAAAATAAAATAAATGATCACCCCTGGTCTTGCTCTCTACCTGTTCATGAAGTTACATTACAATTGGCTCAGCCATTCTGCAGATTAGCCCTCGACCGACAGACAGACAAACATTTTAACAACTTCAATATAAATTATTTATTACAACTCAAAAACTACTGGTAAAAAAATAATTATCAAAATCGGTTCACCTAAAAAAGGTTATGAGGTAACACACATAATATAATATAAAAACAAATACAGTCTAATTGAGTACCTCCGCCTTTTTGAAGTTGATTAAAAATGGATATTCTTATATAGATTAGAATAAAAAATCTTTATATATAAAAATTACGTGTCACGTTGTTTGTCCGCGATGAACTCCTAAAGTACTGAACTGATTTCAATGAAATTTTGTACACTTGTGCAGTTTGGTCCAACTTGAGAGATAGGATAGTTTTTATCCCGATAAATGACCAGCAAAAATTTTATACGAATTTTATATCTTATACATTTTTGTAGTTTGCTCTTTCTTTCTTTCTTCACACGAGGCATTCCCTATTAGTCCTCAGGGGTGACAATGCATCTGCATTTTAATTCCTAATAGAGGACAGATGTCTATGCGTCACAGAATCGATTTGCCATCACATAAATTGTCTCGTTTTTCACCCTTACTTCTATCTATATTAAAACAAATCTCTTACAATCCCTTCGCCACTATACTTGTCTGTAAACTAAAATAGTGTTTTTCTCGATTAGATTTTTCATCGTGTTCATCGAGCACAGCGGGCGCACCGACCGTGTCGAGCAGCCTGGATAGTCTGTCGGGCGGCGAGTGCGAGATGGCGCCCCACTCGCCGCAACGGGGCGCGGCCGGGCCGCCGCCGCACGCCCCTCCGCACGCCCCGCCGCCGCCATACGTGCAGCCTCCTCCGACCTACCCTCCGCCCCCACAGTGGCCCGTCGCACCCCCCAACGTCTACGTTAGCCAGGTCACCGCCAACGTCAACGTACACGGCTACATGGGACAGTACTACCAGCCGCCCCAGCATCAATATGTGCCACCGCCGCCGCAAGTCGAAAGGCCGCCTCGCAATCACAGACGAGACAGACGTGGCAAAAGAGCACCATCGCCTCCGCCTCAACCGCCACCGTATTACGTTCAATACCCGCAGTATTATCCAGCGGCGCAAGCGCAGGGTGCACCTTTGTACCATTTACCGATGTATCAACCGCTAGTCTACGGTCCGTATGCTTATCCACCGTACTATCCTGAATACCCAATACCAGTTGAAGGCGATGCTGGTGAAAAGGGTCCCGATGAGTATCAGCAAGAGGTCGTCATGGAACAGGAAGCGGTGGACGCATATTACGCTAGTGCACATTACGCAGGCCCGCCTTATGGACCTCCGGTAGAAGGGGGCGTGGAATACATGCCACCTATGTATTTGCCGCCGCCTCCACATCCGGGACCGATTCCAATACCACAGCAGCTACCTCACCAGTCGACTCCCCATCAATTCAACGTGCATGCGAAGAACTTTGTTCAAGGCCAGAACCATACGAAAAACTATACACCTCCCGATAAAACGGATAAGAATGCAACAGCTACCGCGTCAGCATCCGCGAGTGGCACTGCAGGATCGGTCGAATCACTTCCCATGAAAGATCTCAAAATAAGCAGTAAGGGTCCAAGTAGTCCCAAACAGAATGAACGCCCTGCAGACTCGAATCAACCAAAAGCTTCTTCAAATGATAAGGTTTCGCCAACACTAAAAACAGATTCTACGAAACCCGCGTGGTCGCCGAATGAAAATAAAGCAGCAGAGGCCAACAGCCAAGCGCAAAATGTCCCTAAAACTTTCCCACCTGCTCCAAATGGTCAAACCACTAACAATAAAGCACCACCTGTTGTTGGAAAAACGCCTAAGGGACCCGCGGCGCCTTTCTCTGGCGGCAAACAACCACCGAAACCTTCATTGCCTCAGACAGCAGTGCCAGTTCAATCTGTCTCTATACCTAAAGCTCCATTCGGAAACAGACAAAAGCGAGAGGGAATAAACCGTTCACCCTCTAATGATAACACAGAAGGTGACAAAATAAATACTGAACAACACCCAAAACGTGAGCCACCTTTACCACCAAGCAAAGCGCCGATGCCTATTTCCATCACTCTGCATTCTCAAGGTCCACCTCTAATAGTCACAAATAAGTCTCCATTCGGACACTCTAGAAAAGTAGCCCCCATCCCTGAACCACCGCCAGTGCCCCAGCCGCCTCCTCCTGCTCCAACCGCATCAGATTTTCCCCCACCCCCCACACCCCGGAACAGAGGTGAACCATCTCCAACAGTCGTCCAACCTAATCCCCCGCCTGCCCCTGGTAAATCATGGGCAAGTCTGTTCTCAAACAAAAGTACCACTATAACAGCGTCTCCACCCACAACAGTCCCTATTGAAGAACCTTCGAGTCCGACTACAACCACACCGCCGGTTCCATCGAATGTGCAAAAACCAATTGCGAAAGTGCCTCCATACGATGCATCGCCACTACAAAATGCTGTGATTGATAAATCTTCACCTACGCCAAAACCGGTGACGACTATGACTCCAACTGTCTCATATTCAGAGAAGACTTCGGTTAATGCTGTCAGCAACACTGCTAACTCTTTGGCTCCTGTGAAACCGAGTACCACACCTGTGACTACAGAAGTGCAAATACCAATCCAGAAAGATCCGTCACCAGCGATGCCTATTCAACCATCGCCATTCAGCGATGATCCTAACTCATACAGGATGGGAGGTAAATATTTGTTAATCATTAAAATCATTATCAGAAAATAATTTTTACATCGCAGCACAGATATATAACCTGAGTATACAAAATTTACAATTGTATAAATGTACCTTCACTGCTGGCTAGCCATGAATTTTAAATAATGAAAGTATAAGAAAGAATAGTGATATCACAACTCTTATTTTCAGAATTTCTAACAAAATATCAATTGGACAACAGACCCGTATCACTTCTTCCCCGTGGACTCACAAACCGTTCAAACTATTGCTATGTAAATGCCATTTTGCAAGCATTGATCGCATGCCCGCCGTTTTACAACATGTTGAAAGCACTTCCGTACCAGACTCGGCATGGAAAATCAAGCACACCTGTAATCGACTCCATGTAAGTAAAAACAACTATTATTATTAGTATGATGTATTGCGTCTGTAGACACTGGTATGATTTTTATATGATGTTTTCATGAATGTGATCCCACTGCATTGTTGATAAGGGTCTGAAATTATGACATTTACAATGAATTTGCAGAACATTGTATAAATAATTTGTGGTTATGACAACCTTAGCCGCATAACATAATATTTTATTTTAGTGTCAAATTTCATAATATCGTATTATTAGAACATATCATATTTCATGTATCTTTTAATTTTTACTAACTTTTACCCACGACTTCGTCCGCATTGAACATTTACTGGTTTATCTTATTGGTCTTTGGGCAAATAGTTGATTTATTGAAAAACCAACGAAGTCAGTCATTTGGCTATTATCTTAATAACCTAACTATGTGCAATATGGGAAGAGGTTGAAAAAAAATTAAAGATCTATGAATTTTACGTAAAACTTACCTTTAACACTCATATCACTCTATTGTAAAATGGTGTTGAAGTAGAAAAAAATGGTAAAAATAGATTTTGTATCAAAATTTTAAGAGATACCAAAGAAAGTTTTGTGCAAGTGCAAACCAGAAAAGTTTTGTTCTTCGAAACTTTTTTGTCTCTTACATCTCGGACTTTGCTTTCTCTCTCTCTCTCTCCCTCCCTCTCCCTCTCTCTCTCTCTCTCTCTCTCTCTCCCTCTCTCCCTCTCTGTCTCTCCTATTTTTGCAGTTTCACAATCAGTTCAGCCATTTCGAAGATTAGCCCTGACAGACAGATTACCAGACAAGAATTTTAAAATGGTTATTCATGTCTTAATAGTATGCAAACAATCTTCCAAAGTCAATAGAAGTCAGTTATATTGATATTACACATAGACACTTCAATTAAATTATATGTAAACATAGCAGGAAAAGGAACTATTATATTGAGCTTAAGTTCTTTGTGTTTACAAGATTTAATTATTTTTTAATTTTATTAACTGTAAAAAACGAACAAGCATTCAAGTGTAGAACGTGAACAATGTACCAAAAAGCAAGTTAATTTAACTTAAAAATATAAAATATATTTGACACGTGGTAAAATTAAAAATTTGTACATTTTGTACAATGTAGTTAAAGTCAAATACGCATTATTAAGGATAAGTCAAAAACTACTGGTCAGATCTTGATCAAATTTATATGGGACCACATGAGAAGCACTAGCATTCAAATAAAAAAAAGAATCATCAAAATGGGTTTACTTAAAAAAAATACTAAGTCTAATTGAGAATCTCCTCCATTTTTTTTCTTCTCTAATCTTATAAGCCTCAAGCACAGGCGCAAAGTAGCTAGCCACTCAGTACCTTCCCTTTTTTTCCACCATCAGACAACCAGACAGTCGTCACCGCTTTCTTGTTGATATTACATGCATTCTACTCAAATAGTTTTCTTCGTCTTTTGTAATGCGTGCAGTAATTTGACAGACTATCTTTGCGTTCGATTACAATCTAGTTGTCTTCAAGGCAAGAATGATGAATAGGCTTCTGTTATGGTAAGCTAATGCGGCAAGTCTTGGGCTTCAGTACTTGTCACCAGCTAGGACAGTACTTAAGCAAAGTTATGAGTAAAAAAATATATGTTTCAGGCCAGTACTTCATTACATTTTACGAGCATATTATATTGGTAGTATTATTATTGATAATATTGAGGATAATGTCTTAATCTAATGACATTTAAAATTCGTCGTTTAGGTCACAAAAGGGACGAGAAACATAAGTTTTATAAGACCTGTCTCAACATGTGGACATCTCTGATTGTTTCAGGGTAGAGTTATGTTACGAGTTCGGGCCGCTGGCCAGCGTAACGCGTCGCCGCGGTGAAGCGGGAGTTGGGTCGGGAAGTGGTGCCGGCGTGGCGCCCGCAGTGCCGGCCGGGCCTCCGCTGGACGGCGCCGCGGGCCTACGCGTGCTGCGGGCGCTGCGCCCCTTCCCAGGCTCACAAGAGGGCAGGCAGGAAGATGCAGAAGAATTCCTTGGCTGCTTGCTCAACTCTCTTAATGATGAAATGCTTGAGGTACGGTTTTTAATATCTAAATTCTTAAGTAAAGATATAATTGCACTATTCAGCAATGCACATTTTAACAGTTGTATATAATTGCTTAAGCAGTAGTTTATAAAATAATGTTAATTAATGTTACCTTTATTATTCTAGTATGAATTGTCATTATCATGTTACTGTAATGATATAAGAATTTTATCCATTTATGGTAAAGAGTTAACATGTGCACTTGTCTTCATTGTAGTTTTAAGCTTAAATATATTTTTAGCACACATAAAAAGCCGTCGCAACAATTTCATAATGTTAACAATTAATATTAAATTTATTAATAAAAATATGTTTAATTATGCATAGATTCACCAGTAACACATTAACTGATTAACATTTAATCTTATTCTTATTACATGTAGATATAAGATTATATCTGCTTGGGGGCATTATTTTTATTGTTTGTGTGTTTATGTTTTAATTAGGTCGGTTTATACCTTTTTGTAATGATTAGAGTATATATACTTATCATATAACTTATACCATATATACAGGGTTATTTTACAATTACCAGCCAAATTTGCATAGAAGGTTCAGTATAAGTAATATAGGCAAATGGTGAAGAAAATTAATAAAAAAAATCTCAAACATTCAGTCATTATTTTATCAGTATAAGTAATATAGGCAAATGGTGAAGAAAATTAATAAAAAAAATCTCAAACATTCAGTCATTATTTTATCTCTTACATTAAAAATACGCGGTAATGCATTATTTTAACTGACTTTCATTCATAAATATCTAACGTTTACTATTTTATGCACGCACACATTCGTACCTTGTAGCGCACCTCCCCCGCTCTTTTTTTTTATTTACCGTTAAATCGCTAAGTTCCTGCGTCCGTTTGCTCAGCCAAGCCAACAGCTGACAGTGTTGACCATGACCTCATTACGTACGCTTTTTTACCAATGACGTAACAAAAATATTCGAACCGCGGGTACTATGAAATGGTGCAATATTACAGTGTGTACCGTGTTTGCAAAGACAAGGAATTAACGCACGTGTACCACCACCAATCCGAGAACACTTTTTGTAGCTAGCCAAAGGCTGTTAGACTTTGGACAGTTCACCACTCCGTCACATGAAAGTGCTCAAGGTGGTCATTCAGTAATAAGCTCAGCTGTCGAAAATACTAATCAAGTCAAAGACTACAATATTAAAGGGCAGGTCGAGTTCAGAGTTAGCCAATACGTGTGGATACTACTGAATTCTTCTGGATATTGCCGATTTCATTACCAATGTGTACAAGCACTGAATAATAACAATGGTCGACCTCGAAAACATTTTTGTGAATGGTTAGTGTAATTTTAAATGATTGCATATTTAAGTAGTAAAATTATGATAATAAACATATTATATACACCGTTCTACGCCGCACGGCGTGCGTGCCGAAAAAAATGTAAAAAAGTTATTTTATTTATTATGATGTACCTAAGCCCGTTTAAAGTATGAAGAGAAAATGGAATCATAGTATTGAGCGTGTCATTTAAGGAAATAAATAGTCATTTAAGGAAATAAATAGTAGGCAAAAGATCCGTGCATTGACCCGTACACACGCGAGCGCGCGCTGTTGTTGCTTACCCATAAATCACATTCAGTTTCGGATATTTTGAAATAAATTTAGAAACCTTATTTACGCGTATTTTTAAAAACTACAAAAAGCAGCAAAAAGTGTATATCAGTATTTATATTTTGAACTTAATAATTAAATTTGGCTAGTTTTTGAAATATAACCCTGTATATCATATAACTTACGTGCTAAGGATTAATCTTTTTCAAATTACTTTGGGCAATTATGTCCTTAATCTTAATTATTGTTAATAGAACAAAACAACTCCTTTCAGCTGATGAAACTAGTGGAGCCTGAAGAACCTAAAAATGCTAACAACCGACCAAACGGTGTTGTCACTCAAGAACAACCTCCAGAGGAAGACGACGACAATGACGAATGGAAGGTACAAAGAAATTTTCGTAATCTTACCTCATCTAGCACGCCTAGGATAAAAAAAAATTCCCGTAATTATATCCACTGACAAGAGATAAAATTATCTTGTCCTTATGCCAAAGCACGGCAATGTGAAGAAATTTATCCACGTTTGACATAACGAGTAGACATATATCCCCGTCCATAGTATGGGACCAAATAAAAGATAAAAAATGTGCTTTTTAACATTTGAAAGGTACAAAATTTTATCCTAGTTCATTGGCCGTTGGTTTAAGTTTATATCCATACAAAAAAATCTATCTAAGTCCTAAGTCTATCTGCCATTTTATCTACTGGGGATATTATATTCACTGGTGTGCCCATGCTCGAAGGGTGGATAAAACTAAGCAAGTGGATAAACATTTTCTCCTTTCTCTGGAAATAAAATTGTATCTTGCCTATGCTAGCCCTGTAGCAATGGTTAATTTTGTTGTTAAAGTTACATTTCCGAGTGCTTAAGTAAAATGAATGAGAAAAAGATTCTTATAAGTAAGAGATCAATCAGTATAGGTGATCAACCACAAATTTAACAAGTCATACTAACATTAATATTATGTTCTTTAAGCTGGTATATTCTTTCTGAGGTAATTGTGGTCTGTAATAGGGTAGTAGACATTGATATCAATCGAAATAACTTTTACAAGCATTCAAAATATAACTTCTAAAGAACTTGTGCAGTAAATAATTTCATATTACTTGGATTTAAATAAACATTTATTCAGATAATTTAAAAAACTAAAATTTTAATATTGTATAAAATTATATAGTGTTGTAAGTTTTAAAACTACTAGAATTATTATTGTATCATTATCATAATTTCAGCTAATAAAAAGTCCAATACTGTAGTCTTGTGTAGTTTGTGAACGATGAATGATTAGGGAATGTATCTTAGCACTGTACGAGAGGAAACTTTCGAACACTGATTATTATTTGGTCTATCGGACAAGAGCTGACAAATGCCCATGCTACTACCATTGACCGATGATTAAAAATGGTATAATATTATTTTACTAGAATGACAGTCCTAAGCCTGTTCAAGTATAAAGAGAATCAAATAGGTAAAAATTTAAAATATTAATTGTTATCACGCAACATTACAACTCAGCAGGTATTGACCGATTGAGACTTACTGACTGAGATAACCATTCCATACAGATAGATACAGTTTAAACTGGTAAGTAGTACTGATGACCGATGGGCACCAAATAGAACTAATAGAACAAACTAGTTCACTGTCCAAAATGAACTAATACTAAGCAATCTTTAAAATGAATGAGGCAGGCACAAGACTACACTGCTGAATATAGATCTCTGCATAGATTGTCAAGGGGTGGGGGTTGACATTTGCTACAGTTGTTATGTTCGGCAGATGGGTTGGGAATGCAGTTTGTTTTTTATTATCATTGAGCTGTTATTATTTTATTTCAAGCCCGTTGCAACCCACTGGTGCATTTATCTCTGTAATAACAAACAGATACCCATGAAATAACTTTGTATAAAAAAATACTTAATAAAGTATTTTTCTGTACAAAGTATATTTGTATTGTTTGATATGTACATTTAATACGAAACGTGATTACTATTGTAAATTTTTTTGAAAATATCCATTACTGATTGTTAAAGTCAATGATAAGCATATGCCAAAAATTCTTCACCTTTATTTCTACTTACAGGTGATGGGACCAAAAAACCGTGGGGCAGTAGAAAGGCGCTGGGCGGCGCGACGAACTCCAGTAGCTGATATCTTCAGAGGCCGTACTCGCCATCGGTTACATCGCGCTCATCATCATGACGTCACTGATGCTGTGCAACCTTTCTTCACTCTGCAGCTTGATATTGAGGTACAATAAAACTGGTATTTGAAAAGAATCAAATCAAAATAATTATTGAAATCACATCTTTTTTTTTTTATAGAATAAGCGTGACAAATAAGCTCACAGTCCACCTGATGGTAAGTGGATGCTGTGGCCCATACACATCTACATGTATCCTTATGCCGAAAATACTGCAGCATTAATTTTGAAATAAAAAATATATGGTAAAGTTGAGGATTAGTGTTAAGTACTATGTTTGACGAAAACACGATTCCATAAAATTTTCTCGATAGAAAAAAATCCTAAGTTATCTCCAAACCGAATAAAAAAATGCTGGTATTCAAATTAGATCATGAAACTGCATATTAACTGAACTATAAGGCAAGTCTTGTTTTTTTTTTATTACCATTATTTTCACCGTAAAAAGAAATTACTTTAACTATGAAGTTTGTTCCCGGCCGCCCGACACCTCCGCTCTAGGGATGGGCAAGGGAAAAAATATCGATATATAATGAATCGATAGCTTCAAACAGTATCGATGTATATCGTGTGATTAATATCGATAAATCGTCATCATTTGCATGATGTAAGGATAAGGCCCAAAATTTTTTTGTATTACAGCCGGTTGGATGACGAAAAAAAAATGACAACATGAATGCTTTTTTGTAGGTCCTTTTGTTGTTTCATGTTATGCCCATGGATACATTTTAAAATATATCGAAATTGATACGAATTCGATACTCTAAAACAAATATGGATATATCGCGATTAAAAATATTGACGATATATATCGATATTTCGAACGGGAGAATTATGTCGCTTGCGCTCAGACACATTACGCAACGGGACGAATTAAAATTAAAATACTTTTACAGTGTTGGCGCAATGGTAAATAACCGTAATAAAAATAGGAAGCAACTGGTTTGGCGTAAAAAAACAGGCAAACATATGATAAACGACTTAAAAGCTAATTTTATTAAAAAAGAGTGAGGTTTCGCGGGTAAGTGGGGGCGAAATTAGAATTTGAACTGAAGTAATATAGACCCTTAAGCTTCTATTTTACGCTGGTATTTTGTGAGAGCGTGGCTACCCTGACCGAGCTGACCCATTCATACTACAACCATAATAGTGCTGCAGCTACCACATATAAAATAATGCGATAATTATAATTATTTATTATAGCACGACTATTAGTTTTAAAGAGGGTTTGAACCAAATTACGGCGTGGCTCTACGACGTAAAAATTATTATAAATTTATAAAAACTATAAAATCTGTATAATTAGTAGTACTTTAATGAGTAGTATTCACGTAAATATAAGAAATCATTACAGAAATAAATAATTTTAATTAAAAAAGTATTAAAATACAATATTCGATGAATAAACTTGCCTGAAATGCCTATAGTTTTTAACTATGGTGACATCAAAATGATCGAGTCGAATAAAATATTTATGCTCTTATAGAAAAGTTCTTGTCAAACTTATGTTTTTAATTAATAGTTATTTAAATTTGTAAACAAGTTGTTTACAAATTAAATAACATTTGTTTACAAGTAAATGTTAAATGATCTGTGGCAGCTCAGGGGCTAAGCGCTAATATTTAAAAAGACATGTGAAGTTCGCCAACACGCATTGGGGCAGCGTGGCGGACATTTCCTTGCCCTAAAGAAAAAAAAGTGAGAGGAGGCCTGTGCTCGGCAGTGGGTCGTATATAGACTTTAACTTTAAAGGTTAACAAATTGAATGCCATGTATTTTGTTTATAAAAAAAAAATTTTGCAAAATTTTTATTAATTCAAAATAAATATCATTAATTGTAATTTTATATTTATTTTATTTTTCCACCCAGCGTTCTAACACCGTCAAAGATGCCTTGGAACTTCTGGCTGGCAAAGACACATTGGAAGGCGTGTCTGATGCCTGGCAGCAACTATCTATTGAAGAACTGCCAGTGGTGCTCCTTTTACACCTCAAGTGCTTCCAGCTTGACTCCGAAGGTCATACTGCAAAAATTGTCAAGAATATAGATTTCCCAATAGACCTGAAGATAGACCCTAGTATGTATTATTGAATCTTTTTAATGTAAATTATTTTCTGTTTAATCAATATTGACTTTTAACAAATTTCAAAAATAGCTAGGTCAAAGAGTGACCCGCTATTTCAATTCAAAAAAATCTAAATTTCCAAGTATATTCTTGTAGTCTGTTGCCATGATCATTTTTTATTTATTTTACAATGATGGAACTTATTTTTCGTCTCCGAATATGATAAAAATTATCATAACAATGAGGAGAATTATGACTGAGTATACTACACATAACATAAAATGATGTGAAAGTATTGACTTAACATGATACTAATTAAAAGAATTTATTACAGAGATAATGTCTGCGAAGTTAAAATATACACAAAAGCAACGCCTTTATAAGTTGTTTGCGGTTGTGTATCACGAAGGAGTAGAAGCTGTGAAGGGCCATTATGTCACTGATACTTACCATGGTCAGGTTGGCTGGATAAGGTATGTACAAGTTATTATATTTTATTCAATATCATCCTTTGATCAATAATAATATTGATCGAAGATATCATCAGGTAGATTTTGCCGAAAATTTGTTGGCCTATATTAATTTCAAAGAATAACCCAGTATATTCTGACCTATGACTATAATTATATTTTATCTGTACTCATACCCACCACACTGGGCAGATAAAAGCTGGTTGGGGGACTGGGCAAAAACTACACCCTCATGCTGGCAATGTTTTACCCCATCACCAGTCTGGGTTTTGTATTTGGTCTTTTATGAATCCTTACCGCCACATTGTTCATTATGCGAATTCAATAAGCAACTTTCTACACATACAGGGGAGGTTGCGCATTAAAACAAAACAGTTTCTATATGTATGAGAATACCGCTAAATGATTTTATATGTTGTGTTAAAGCCATGCTACAGCTATATTACGGTTACTTATAGTACGAGTGGTTCGGCTCGCCCGGGGTAGGGCTACGCTCTCACAGAATACCAGCATAAAATAGCAGCTTAATGCTGTAAGAAACATACAGAAAGGCCAAAGTTTATGTATTTATTACTTCTTCTTTATGACTCCTTCGGACCTAAGTTATAAATTGCTCTTATGGCTGGCTCTCTTCTGAAAACAAAAATAGTCAATCAATATCAGTCGCATTTACCATATAGCAAGATTCCATAATATGACATTATGTTATGGAAATAACCAAAATAAACTAATCTATCAGTTTCAACACATGTAAGACCTCTAAAAATTTTTACAGCATATGCTGCAGAACTAAGTTTGCTATCTGGTTATGTGCGTCATATAATATAGAAGTCAATTTGTTGTTTTATTTATTGCATATGTTTATATTTTACAATGATGGTACTTATTTTTCGTCTCTGAAAGTGATTTAAATCACTTCTATGTAGACATTATTAACTGATTAAAATATGCTATAATCAACTACATTTTCGTTTCCATCAACTTTTTTTGTAAAACTAAAATTATTCCACAGGTATGATGATTCCACGGTGACTCAGGTTACAGATACTCAGGTATTAAAGCCTAAGCCTCCTAGGATGCCATACTTGCTCATGTACCGACGACATGATATGTTGCCTCCACACAGAGCCACCGGAAAACCGGAATAGAACTGGATAGTCTCTCAAACACTTGAAAAGCGTTTGATACGAACTAAAAACTTAAGTGTTATACCAGTGAGAACAGTGATAAAAAAGAATTTGTATTTATATCTGTAAATAAACAAGACTCATGTGCCTATCAGATTAGTTCACAGCACAACGAAATTGTCTCATTATATTTAAGTACACTATGTTAAAGCCTCAAATTAATGTAATTGAATGAATTGTTGCTGTACGTTTTCTATTTGCCTATCTATTATGATTGCAAATATTTGGAACTGTTTTTGTCTCATGATTTTCATTTCTAATTAGGATTATTTAGTTTTCCCTTAATTTCTTTTTGTATCATAGATGTACATTATACTTAAAATTATTATTTATGTTTAGGTGTTTTATGACTGTAAATAAATTTAAATTTAGATTGTATATAAAATGTTCACACCTTTTTTATTACGCCAAAATAAGACGGAGACGGATAAGTAAGTATATTTGATCAAAATGTTGAGTCACTCCAATCAAAAATTGCTTGTTAAACGTATCGTGTGCGAGATCGTAACCTAGATATATAAGAGGAGTTGAGCAAAATTGATGGGACCTTAAATTTTTATCAAGTTTGTGAAATTCCATAAAATCTTAGTCAGTTATTTTTTTTAAATGCTCTTGTCACTTATATGTATCTGCCAAAGTTTTTAATAGTATATTTATTTGTTGCAACTCCTCCAAGATTAGATACTAAGTTTGGACAATACGGAATTGTGCTATAAATAATTTTAAAAAAATATTAAAAAAATGTACCATAGTAATGTGTAACTTTGTATTGATTATATATAAATTAATAACATCAGTTTTAATAAAAAAATGGTTGATCCGTTGGAAAGTACAAAGTTCTGATATTGTTGTGATATGGAAAGTTATTAAATGCCAGAGTGTATTTTGAGATCTATGTGGTGTTTGTATATCGTAAAGGGTAGAATGTATAGAGGTGTTATGGTCGGTGTCCACCATTAGTTTTGAAAGGTTTGAGTCCTTATTCCATTTACGAATAATTTTATTATGTACAAGTGTTTCGGTATAACATTATAATTGATCTTCTCGGTATATAAATTATAAAATTGATTGTATGTAACATTCAGACTTGTAAGAAACCATCTACAAGTATTGATGCGATAGCCAAAAATGGGATAAGTATATCCTGGGCGAATTTAATTGCAGTAATATGCATGTTTGAATTTGCTTTTTGTTATGTGCATGAGTTAGCATGCATGTTTTATTTAAGTATTTTGCGATTTATTTTATATGCAATAGATGCGGGCGATCATTTGATAACCAGAGCAGTAAACTTTTTTACATAATATATTCTCATGAGAAAATATAAGAATAGCGTTTTCACTTACAATGAGAAGCTAAAACTCAAAATGTGATAAAATATCAGACATTTGGATAAACTATTATAGCTAATATAGTTGATAATGTAATCAACTATATTGTAAAATTTCATCCCACATAATCTCTGGCATTAAGTTACTATCGTCTAAAGGTTTTTAAATTTGCCCATTTCAAGAAAATCTTGAAAATTATTTTAGAATTGCCCGCATCTAATGCAACAACGCCGGTCATCACGCTATTCACGTAACTCTGTGCTCTGACGGACCGGAAGCTAGGCAATGAGTGTAATGTGACTGTGCCCTTTGCTATGTGATATGTGGTTTGGACGATTACTATGAATTGTTTAATAATATTCATTGTATAATATTGTTATAACTATGTAAGTGTTAAATATAAATAAATTATATTATGGTGTGTTGAACATAGGGTGTCTGTTTTTAATATTATTGAAAAACGACTCGAAACTTTTTTCTGTTGGAATTGATATGTGATTGTGGAAATCTGAAATACGTATGATTGATAGCAATGCTGTTGGGTATACTAAATTCTACATTAAGCTATTGTATATTTGTTTATAAAATTACTAGTTATATACAGAAGCATAGCTGATCTATCTTTGATTCATTTATTGATCAAATATTGATTATGAATTGTCTGATCTCACCTTAATGTTGTTGTTTGGATATAATTCACACGATGGATGTAAATTTCTCTTTCCTAGAAGAAGCATTATGTCAATGCCTTAATTAAATACAAATATTTTGCTAAATTTGAAATTAATCTTAAATTATATAAATAGTATATTCTTCAAAATCGCTCCTTTATAGAGCTTTACTTAAGTGTTAAAAAAATCTAATAAACACTGGTCGAGTCCATTATCTATGAAATAACTAAGCGTTAGTCAATTTGAAACTATGATTGTAACGAAGTGAACTAGATTTACTTTTATTTCTTAAACTGATTTTATTTTTGTGGTTAACTAAGTATTTTTATTTTGTAACTTGGTTGTTGTTTTTTATTTTGTTTGGATAATGGGTAGCTAATAACGTAGGTAGAATATGTACTACTGGCATTAAAACTATAAGACACCAATCAGTAGGTTATAATTCACACCAAACTTTTACAATAAATAGCGGTTTATTGTCGTGCTATTATTAGGATGTAAATGTTACAATTAGGCTTTTTCGCACACCGATATAGCGTTAAGCAGCTATTTGGTAAGGCGTTGCCCTAGGTGAACGATAAAAACGGCAAAGCGAATCAATGTGATAATATCAAGAGTGCCTACACGTGTCCAACGTCGTATGGATGAGTTAGCAATAATAGTGTCAATAAAGTGTCGTGTTGGTTCGCGATTTGTCGCTTTCCGCGGTCACCAAGGACAATCGGTAAACGCTATTAGAATATAATAAGTACGCTGTGACGCAATGTCGCTCGCTGGTAAATGTGTGCTTTGTTTTTAACAGCAACAAGTTTAAAGTAACAGCCTACACACGTTCAAATGCTTGGACACAAGTGTTATCTCTTCTGAAAAGGTTTTGTAACAATACCATACAACTTTTTATATATAATCATCTTAAATAATCAAAAAAATCACAACGCAAGCTACCTCTAAATCCAGTATTGATTGTTGTTGATACAGACTCAATGCTATCATTTGAATTTTTGTCAAATAACATTAAATTAAAAGTTATCTTGTAGGCAAATTGAATTGAATTTCAATCAAATCATCATCCCATATATTTGCGATATTGCGTCATGACCATAAAAATGATATTGAACATTTTTTAACTAGTTATATCTTGATAGTTACAGACTACAAATTAATAGAAAATCTATAAAAAACATATTACGAATTTATAAAAACATATATAAGCACTACAGCGATAAGTAGTAATTTAAATTTTTTTTTCACCGGTTATTTATAAATGGGTTTATAACATTACAGTTTGTGTAAATTTAGATTTTCTTGTTCAACAAAAAATTTCTAACGTGCGTAAGACTGAACGCAGGGTTCCCGAATGTCGGTTTTTGTAATATGATTAGAAGCGGCAGGTTTAGGACGTAAGTTTCTTTTTTAACAAATGCTGCCTTTAAGTTAAGTTGTCCGTGTTGCTTATTTATTTCGATATGGTACTGATAGCTGTTATTTATAAGAGACATAACATCACCACCATCTGTTGAAGCAAAGGTGTAACAAAAAAAACGTTAAAAATGTGTCCATGTTACAAATAAGCTAATTGGTATTGCATTAAAATCAACTGATATCCCTATTTTTCTTTTACTATTTTTATAAAGTCTTAGTCGTTTTACCTCCCATTGCTGGGCACTGGCTTATCGTTTCTGAGGGAGGTATATAGGATAAAAAAGTTCATAATTATGTTTTTATTTAACAATATGAGAATTTCTTGTTTTTGTGACAGTTCTGTATTGGTATTCATTCCAATTTCAGTAAAGTGTTATTGTTTATTTAAATGTATGATCTCAGCCCATTGAAGTTCAAAAGGGAACAGTTGTTGATTCGCCTATATAATAACATTGCCATCGCTATTAGAAACTTCACATATTTGCTTCACCAGATTTGCCCGTGCTACTGCCTTCATTTAGCTAACACCGACATTTATAATCACTGAATGATCCTATCGCAGTTGGCTGTGACATAAATAAGGACTTTCCACTGTTATAAATGACTGTTAGCTGTTTTATACAACTATTAATAATTAGTTATTTATAATTAGACACGTCGTTTAAGGTAAATTATGTTTATATCCGATTTACATCATCTAAGTTTCTGTAAAGTAAGTGGATGACACATTTAGATATAGTAAAAATGTAGATTAGTTTTATTGATTAATGAACGTTCCTGAGGATATTTTATTGTAATTTTTAATTATATGATCAAAATGATAGATTTGTAACTTGTTTCAGAGTGCAACTTTTTGTGTCGCAATTTTTTATGTCCATGAATTTTAAAAGTTGCCAGCTTTAACAAGAACCATTCTTGTTTTTAAATTAACTCGAAGGCCTTATCCTATATAATGACTACATTTTTAACTTATATGTTACAATGATAATGTATCATGCACTCCTCACGATAGAGTTTTAATATTATGTCACTCGAAATTTTTAAATTAGTAATTTTGTTATTTGTGTTTAGAAGTTTTAAATATACGAAAATTGAGAATGAAGCAAAGCATCTTAATAAACTAATAAGTATTTATATTTAATATTGTAAGCAAATTATGAATACCATCCCGATTTTGATTATTTATATTTTTGCGCAAATAATCAATGCAAATTGATACTTTGACCCTTTCGCTGCGGTTTTGCAGAATCTCCCAAAGCACGATCTAGATGATTTTGTTTTGTTTGAAATAAAAAATGTGTTCGACTACAATCATAACTACTATTTATACCTAGTACGTTTACTTCTGCTTTAGTTCGTTCTCTTTAAAAGTTTTTATTTTAGATATATTTTTTTCTGAAGGAATACTAAATGAGTTTGATTAACTTAAATTATAAAAATCAATATTTCGATAAATTTCTGATCATGCATTTCCTATTTGATATGGCTACTAGAATAAAAGTTTAAATTAAAACAATAGTCTGAAAGCCTTCAAGGTTGTGCCTTAAAATAATTCGTCTAACCAAATAGAAAAGATATTTTTTTGACTGGCGTACTTGTTTCACTTAAAAACCGACCAGTTTCGCCTCACGGTATCATGTTATGTAAGAACAGTCGCAAGTATAAATTATAAAAAGTAAATCTAATGGACGACAAAATTTATGTCAACCTGGTTGTTTGTTCTTGTAATAAATAGCAGATTGTAACTGATATGTAAATATTATGGCAATATTGCACTCTTTTTTTTGATATAGTTGACTACATGTTGGACAAGATAACTAGCCTACCGAGTGACGCACAATTTTTTATCGCACGAGATATAAGTATACGTCATCTGACCAAAATATCTCGCCCTTCAAATTAAAAATAACTTCAAAATAACATAATTACATAAGGAGCTCATGCGAAAGGGTTAATTAATATAGATATAGAATTGTTTACATTTTTTGTCGAAAATGCATTATCGTTTTCTAAATTACGAAAATGATTAATGAGTTTTCGAATGTGTTATAGAAATACATCTAGTCCCCCGTATAAATTTGTTTATAACATGTTTAGTGCAGTCTGTATTTCATTTAAAAAAGTAACATTTGCAAATTTTATTAATATATATGAAAAATTGTTAATAAATGTGCAATAGATTTATATCCAAAAACTGGGTAAAAGAAACAATAACAATGAAGTCTATAACGGTCTATCTACTTAGATTTTAATAATGTATGTAATATGCTTAACATTAACTATTATTATTTTTATATGAGAAGTTCTAATTTAAGTTACTATTAATTTTAGTGATAAGATCCAAGGCTGTATTAAAAGGAGTGTTTTCCCTTACGAGGTAAAGCTTATAATGTTTTTATTTTAATCTATTCGGAAAATATTGTAAAAATACTCCCTAACGTTCGTAAAAGTTGGGAGTTAGGAGATACAATAATAAAAATCGTATAATTTGCTACTAAATAGGCAAACGCTTGTCTGTTGTGGTGGCTATCTCTATGTTGTTAATATGTGTGTATGACTAAATAAAATAAAATAATCCTTTATTTTGGTAACAATTTGGTGTTATGAAAATTGTGAATAAAATGGTGTCATTCTGAATTTTTTTCACGAATTCATTCATTTATTTATTAACCTTGCATAACAAACTCCGCAAAAGCATACACACACACACACACGTACACACACAAACGCATTCCTTAATTTCATTAATTTTAGACTACTTTGTAAACATGGGTGTCTGCGCCTAACGTTTTATTGAACACTAGCTGTGCCCGCGGCGTAGCTCGCGTACAGAGGTTTTACATAAAGAATTTGTCGTTTAGGTAAGAGAATATTAAACGATTTATTTCATTACTGTATCAATAAGTGGTAACTAAATAAATCATTATCATCAAAATTCTAAGTCGTTTATGATAGAGCTTCTGTGTAAACGACGTTAGAAGTAGGCTTAGCCGGGGTGTACACAAAAAGGTTACGGGGGCTACTAACGCGGGAAAAAGCAACATAGAGTTGGCCACGTGCAAAACAGTCAGTACTGAGGTACACTCCTACAACGCGTAAAGTTTGACCTTGCGCTTTATTTACGGTCATCGCATAACACACGCTCACTTTAACTGGGAACTGAACGCGCTTAAAACTGAAAGGAAAGTTACTTCTTAATAGAGGGTTTTTGGGCAGTGCTGCCAGATAAAAAAAAACTCATTCAGCTCTAGGACAACACAAAAAGCGCTAGATTTCATGAAAACAGCGCTTTAAAAAAGCCCTAGATTTCGCGCTAAATTAACTACAAACAAA